GGGGGGAAGGCTAAAATATTTACGATCAGGGAGAGCGTAAATTGGCGTGCATGGTCCAAATGAGACACTTGCTAAAGATTATAAAAATTAACGTTGACCCATTTCATAGGTGAAAAATACATTTGTGTTTCAAAAGGATACAAGCGAGTACCGTATCATCACTTTTCCCACATATTTCTAAGATGTATTTATTTCTTTTTCTCTTTAACATACTTTTAAGTGTGGGGGGTTGAGCTCCCCCCCGAGCCCCCCCCCCCCCCCGAGCCCTGCTGTTTCGTGACTCTAAAGACTTAAAGAAAATGAGATGAAATGAACTTAGAAAGAAGAATACAAAAAAAAAATAGAAGAAGATATAAATTCGAATTCCTGAAAGGCAAGGACACACCGTTTACAATGTTACAAGGAGTTGATGCCATTCTTGCTGGTGTCATCTAACGAAATAGAGAAATTGTGAAATCTTATTAACTTAATTTTTTACATCAAGTATTATCAGCAACAAAACCAAAAAACACTCTTAAAGATAAGCTACACAGAGAGACAAAAGCGTGCTGAAGTCGGGGAAAAGCGCATAACCCCCTCATACGTTCTTTTTGAGCTCTTCATTGATTATTGATCTTAAAGTCACATAGAAGTTAGCTCTCATGTGGAATTCGACACCGTTCGGGTGTTTACCCCAGAGGCGGCCCTCCTTGGGGGCAGGGGGGGGGGGCACAGTGCCCCCACTTTTTCAGATACCCCAAAAGTGCCCCTTTTTACATAGGAAAAGTGCCCCTTTTATTTTGTAAGAAGTGCCCCTTTTACTTTGACAAGTGCCCTTATTACTTAGTAAAAGTGCCCCTTTCCCCTTTTCACCTCTGACGAGTACCCTTTTTATTTTTGACACGTGCCCCTTTTCCTTCGATATGTTCCCATTTTCCTTTGCAATAAGAGTCCATGTTCCATTCTCATAAATCTTGAAATTATCTTGAATAAGTGCCTTTTTATTCTCTAGTAAGTGCCTCTTTTCAGGTACGAGAAGTGCCCCTTTTCACTTTTAATAAGTGCCCCCTTCACCTCTGATAATTGCCCTATTCAAAACTGAGAGGTGCTCCTTTTACTTTAATAACTACCCCTTTTTAAACTCGGATGAGCACACCTTTCATTTTAACATGTGCCCCTCTTATTTTCTAATAAGTGCCCCTTTTCCTTATGATAAGTGCCCCCATTAAAAAGAGACAGCTCCTTCCCCTTCTCATAACTACCCCTTTCCCTTTCTAATAAGTGCCCCTTTTCCTTATGATAAGTGCCTCCATCCATAAAAAGAAAGAGCTCCTCCCCCTTCTCATAACTGCCCCTTTTAAAAATCTGAACGGTGCCCCCTTTTCATTCAACAAATGTACATTTTCCTTTATTATTAGTGCCCCTTTTCATATCTGGTCAGTGCCCCTTTTCAACTCTGATAATTCCCCTTTAATAATGATAAGTGCCCCTTTTCCTTTCTAATAAGGGACCTATCCACTTTTCACCTCTTATAAATGCCCCTATCAAAATCTGATGGGTGCCCCTTTTCCGTCAACAAATGCCTTTTTCCCATTTTCATAAACGCCTCTTTTTCATCACTGGTGAGTGCCTCTTTTCAGGTAAAAAAATGCCTCATTTTCACCTCTTATAATTATCCTTTGTACTTTGACACGTGCTCCTTTTCTTTTCTAATAAGTGTCTAATATCCCTTTCGATAATTGTCCCCTTTACATGTAATCATTAAACGTGCCCCTTATTTAAAGCGACTAAGAGCAATTTCCCCCAAAGTTCACTCACTGCCCTCGCTCGCATTCAAAGATGATATAATTATGTTACTTATCAAAGGTCTTTTCAGTCTTCCGTTATGAGAATGTGCTTATAACCCCATCACGATTGGCTTTTTTCCTCTTTATAAGATGTAATTTTTCGCACTGCGACCTTACAGATCTTTAAAATTTTTCTCGCTCGCTTCGCTCGCTCGTAAATGCATATTCAGACATCACACCCAACTGTAAAGTATGATGCTTAAGCGATATCTTGTATGATGTATGAAGAGAAACAAATATTGAAATCATCCCTGATAATGTAATCACAATGTAGGGGTATATACCAATGTCTAAACAATTGTATATTTTCGCTTTGAGATTTCCCACTGTAGGTGCCCCTTTTTTCCAGAAAGTGCCCTTTTTTGTTGATTGAACTGAAGTGAAGAAGAAGAGTGACTAAATTCAGACAAGATCTAGATCTCTAGTCTATGTAATCGAAACAAAAGACACTGAGACCGATTTGAATTTAAAAAAAGTATACAAACTGTATAACATTAAAGTGCTGAGTGATTCGTAGAAAAAATCATGGTTTTATTTTATAATCTAGAAATGTATGTCCTAACTATCAATATGCCTTTTGAATTGTCAAAAAATTCAATCGGGAAGTCTGTTAAATTAGAGTTTATAATTTGGTTTTTCACACTACCCATATCGTTTCTCCACCCCTTCGTGAAACATCGAAGTGACCTCTATTATGCAAATTTCGGCATACTACGTCACGGACAGTACTCGACCTACCTCGTACTCAGGCTGCTGCCTTATCCGTACAATGTGTTCATAGTACACGAAAACTTACAAAATCTGGACTGGTTTACACAATTTACTTTGTAAAAGATTCCTCCCAAACTTCAAGAAAAAAGAGATGCTAGCCTTGATGAGTGAAAGATGTATCGCATAAATCCCAATTTCCTCCATGAGATTCACAGAATTTGGTTGTCTATATTGCCATGATTCAAGTTGCCGATAATATTGTTGTGATGGTGATCGCTAGCTGGAAGTTGCATGGGTGACGTGAAGTCTGCTGGAAAAAACTTCATATGAACATTTTCCTATGTTGACGACTTCACAAAATTCATCTTTCCACTAAACAAATCATATCCTGTCTGTAATTAAATGTTTTGATTGAAGTTTTAACATAAGTTTGGGATTAAATAGTTTTAGTGTGTCAATTGCCGTTAGATCTTTAGGCTGCCGCTGTGCGAGCCGTGTACAGCAGGGCGGTGAACGTAATTGTTGTTGTTCGGTACACGGCTGGCCCTGGCGGTCGTCGTGTGGGCATTTTCGGTGGCTAGCGATAGCAGAAGAAAAAAGAAGGGCCGTGCTGGTCGCGTTTTATGCAGGTGGTTGTTGTGCACGGGTTCTTAACTGCATTCACGGGGGGGGGGGGGGGGGGTATAAGTGGTTGTTATAGACAGGTTGTCGTTAAGACGTGTTTGACTGAATGCTAATGTGAAATAATAAAAATCAAAGTGAAAGTGCTCACTTAATTGTGCTGATATACGTATGTGCCCTCATGCATGTCGCTCTTCTTGCAGTAAATACAGTCATGCAGCCGAGTACTAATTCACAAAATTCATCTCCAAATCCATTAAACAAACCAACACCAACGTGTATGATCATTTGACCGAGTTCATGTAGAGTCTATATAATTATATCCAGTGAAAGTGAATCGAATTAGAAACTAGATTTGTAATACTTGTTTGGAACAAGTATAGGTGGGCTGATCCAACAAAAAATTGAGACAAAATAAAGGGTACATTTGAGATAGCTTTTTGTCTCAGCTACAACATACTCGAAGTTCAGCGTAAATGAAGCTAAAACGACGTAGATATTGCTCGCGAAAGACGGGAATGTAGAATCAAGTTTTGAGAAGAAAAAGATGTCCCATAGAGAATACACGCAAAATGTGAAAAATTGACATGCCTCCTTTAATCGCAAAAATACGCCATGATGCCTTTGTCAAAATGAAAAATTGTGAAGATTAGATTTGTAGAGAATTGTCTCAGCTAGAACATATCAAAATTTTGAAGAAAATTAATCAATTTTTAGAAAGATACAATCAATTTTCCAAAAAAATGCTGACGTCATAATAGGCAAATTGAAATTTTGAGTTCAGAGGCCATTATGATGACGTCATGAGTTAATTGAGGGTCAAATGAGACATGAAATTATATCTCTAATTCATACTCGATCAAAATATGAAAAAAGATTGGGGTCACCTTGCATCCTAAAGAGCTACAATGGATTTTGCATAGGCATGTTTTTGCCCATATATGCTATGTATTACAAGAGCTCGCGCGCACTGAAATTTATGTTAAACGGTCCATTATTCAATTATTAATAGTCATAAAGAGACAAACATGGTATCAATTTGTTTGTAAAAATATGTGGAATATTATGAAAGAAAAAAAAGGGCGATTCTATGGTGTCTAATAGTTTTACGCGCGAAAACGCGCGCGCATGCGCGTGTGCGCGATTTTTTATAAAATGCTTAGAATGGCCTAAAACGTATGCAAAATGATTTTGAGACGATTTTGAGCATTTCAAAATTTTGCGCGCGCATTGACGCGCGGACGTACGCGCAAGCGCGCGTTATTGACTTAAAATTGACCGGACGGATATTGACCCTGATCATGATAAATATGAATGAGAAATACCTTTTGGTTATGAAGATATGATCATGAGTTGATTTTCGTAAAATTTTACAAAATGGCGCCTAGATGACGTCATCAGTGAAGGTCAATGTTGAAAACGTTATTGTGCTTTGTACATATGCCTATACATATGTGTGCCAAATTTCAAGGCATTTGATCGAGCCATTTTCAAGTTATCTTGCTAACAAAAAAGTGGTTAGAAATAAGAAAAATATTTAATAAATAAATAAATAAAGGCAATTCTAACGAAATTATAAGGTGGTCTGTACGTTATACAGCCCACCTGATAAACCACGATTGAATTTTATTTGGGGGACTTGACAACTGAATTGAGAATACATAACTTCAGGGTAACTTCATGACTTGACTTGTCCTTGTCTGTATACTAATGGCATTCCGACCTCTAATTCGTTCGGGATATTTCAAGGATGGAAGGTAGTCTTATCAGTATTGGCCCCCTAAATGGCCCCTAGCTAGCCATAATGTGGAATGTGTCGTACATAGCATCCCATGTCATAAAATGGCTTCCTCTGAGCCTGATCGTACAGAGTTTGAGGTAGAAGAGGAAGCAGCAAATGGCTTCTTTGAAGGAGATTGTCATGATTCCCCTTTTGAAGATGACGAGTCATCATCAGAATCAGAAGAGGAAATCTCGTCAAGTGAAGAAGAGGAGAATTTCCCAGAAACCGAAGAAAATGATAATGAACCAGAACTTCCAGATGATGATCTTGGCTTTGATAATGGATTCGGAGCTGAGCCATACATGTTTCAACCAGTACTTCCTCCCGGAGTAGAAGCCCGTAGACCTCCTGTTGGTGACGACAGAAATCGGCTAGAAACTTTAGATTGGTATGTTTTTTTTATTTACACGGTAGGCTGGATAAATGCATGACCAAAATGTAATAGCATAACAAAAATCGTCTCGTCGGGTCTTTTTTCAAAAAAAGAGTTGGCAGGGCAAAAATATCTATTATTTTCTTCTCACGATGGCCCCGGCCATATTCTGGCCGAGTGCTCTTTGAGTTACTGATGCAACGTATGACAAAACAAATGATTTGTATCATCCCCCCCCCCGCTCAGTGTTATTTAGGGTACGGGTATATGCATGCATGTTCCCTCTTTTTGAAAGCATATCCCCCCTATATACCTAAGGTGTGACGGGTCGGACATTATTGTCGCGCGAAAAAGTACCCCTTTACCGGAAATTTTAGGAACACGCATGCGGTCGATCCGGCCCTCCTCCGTCGCCGCGGAGAGGGGGGGGGGGGGGGGGGGGGAGGAGGAGGGATAACAATGAAAAATGTATTGTGTTCAGCTTGAATTAGCTATAGAAGCTTTTTATTCAAAACGAACTTTTTTTGTTGTTGGTTATTCCTTTTTTTATCTGAATAATAAATAGTAAAAAAAAAAAAAAAAAAAGGGAGGCGAGCGGGGACGAGAAACTCGTTTTTTTTGTTGGTTATTGGGCCTTATTAGTATTTAGGCCTATACTCATCACAGAAATGTGGGTGCAATTGTTGAATCTAGATTGCCCAGGTAGACACGGGGGCGAGTCGAGCCCGAAAGTTGCTAGCGTTATTGTCACAATTGTGTTTATTGTATTTATAGGTGCCGTTGTGGGAATTGTGTTCTGATGAGATCAGTTACTGAAAGTGTTTGCTGTCAGGAAGTCGACTGCATCAAAACCAAGATGGCAGAGACGGACACGCCAGATGGATGTTTACGTGACCACGAGGCCTTTTGGCGAGTTGCATTGGACCCAATTATTTTGGACATTGCTTATGCCAGCTATGGCAAGAAACAGCGACGAGGGGTAGGAAACTATGCACAAGGGAACTTGAATGCGTAAGTTAATAACCTGTTATTTTCTGTTTTTATTATTTTCCAAACTATGGTCCAACCACAAGCCACAAGCTTCTTTTTCCTCTTTGTTTTGAAGGACTTTTTGGTGCCTTAGCACTAATCCCACCTCACAAGCAAAGAGTATGGTTGCTGAAGAGGGCGATTAAAAAAGTTAATTGAAGTCCTTCAGACTGAACCAAAATAAGGTGTCCGTGCAGAAACTGTCATTGATCAAGAAAGTACCGTTTATTGGGGCGCATCCTGGAACATTGAAGTACAAAGAACCCATCAATTGTTTTCGTAACTGGCGTACCGATAAGGGGGGGGGGGGGAGGAGTGCAGTGGCCCCTTAACTAAAATTCAAACACGTTTTTTTTTTCTTCTAATCCCTTACCAGTGATTTACAAATATTGCTGCATGAAATGACAATAATTTTCCCAGAGTTTTTTTCTAACTTTTGCCAATTATGGAATATACCTCCCCTCCCTGGGATCTACGCCTTTGCACATGTTTCAACTTTGTTTCCAATTTTCTTTTATCTTTTATCTTTTGACAGGCGATACAGATACACTGGATACCACCAAGTTGTAAGATGGTGTTGGGGTATTCTTGGCAAATACAACCGTGTTCCTATTCCATCGTGCGTTATTGATCGCATCGCCACAACTTTCCCCCCACCGCCAGGGCAGCCCAGACGAGGTTTTCTGTATGCCCCTTTGGATTAATCATGGACTAGAAGATCAACTTTATAAAGAATAACAAAGATTAAGAGAGCAAACATTACTCTGCTGTAGAATAATACAACATTTATTGCAATTTAACACTTTATCTCCATCTCCCAATATGCTCATCAATCTGGTTTCTGTCAAAGTATCACATATTAAATTATGACAACTGACTGGTAAACTGTTGTTATTTCCAAACAACTCAATGGAATAGAATGATGAAGTACAAAATATATTTGATTTGATCAAGTAAACTAAGTCAAAAGTTAGCAAGATTCAATTTCATTTGTTTAATTAAATTTTAGTTTCATTTTAGACAGATAGGATTGGCAGAAAACCTGATTGAAGAAATGTGTCTATTGTTTACAATTTGCAAAATCAATAGGAAAACAAATTCCATTATTTCGTTGATTTGTTATATTTTTAAATAAGCATTTGCAATATTTCACTCAATTTGCTTGCTCACAACACATAGTACCTCACTTTGCAGCTAAAATTACTCTATTTTACTTCTCACTATTTTAAACAATTATATTATATAAATATTTCTTTAAAGAAAATATCTTTCCTAGGTCTTTAACATTTTAATGAGGCAAACTTACTATTACTGACTTTATAGACAGTCTGCGGGAAGTTTCACTGCAGAACCGTTGAATGAAAATGTCATATTTAACAACTCTGACTGATATCATTTTAAATTCACTTTAATAAAGTAAGACAATGAATCAATGAACAAGTTTGAAATTGTACATTATCAAAGTTTCTTCTGTAATGCTTATGGCTGAGAAAAATATAACAAATTGAGATGAACACATAAAATAACATGTATAATGATTGTCATTGCTCCTTTACTAGTGCAACCTTTCCTATATCCTTTATGCACTTCTGCATTAAGTTATGCACAATGAAATTGTTACAACACAAAATAATTAGTTTTGCAGTCATTCACAACAACACGTCCACTTTTCACTCACAAAGTGAATAGCATTATTATGGGTGAGATTCATTTTGAGAGGTTTCAAAGTAAGCCTTAGTTACTTCACACATCATGGTTAATTCTAATCAGAATAACTACAACTGAATTTTATATACTCAGAATTCGTTCTGCCCACTGCAATGGATACGTGCTCATGAAAGTTATGTAATCATTATTCACTCATGCACAAGCAGTACACCCCATGATACACAGGTGGAAGTATTCTTTGAATAAAGGGAAACAAAGGCTATTTATGTAGCACCTCCATCGCTGTAGGAGTGATTATTTCAAAATGTACAAATTGGGACCTCTTCATGTTTTGAAGATCTGTGGATATTCAGGGTCATTGCAGATATGTGCTAACCGTGAACTGGTCTATTCAAATGTTATGGCCCTTTGGCAAATCGGCTCTTCTCACGCTCCAATGCTTCATCCATGGTTGGGCGCTCCATGGAAGTGGACATTGGTGGAGGTACATTGCAGAGCAATGGAGTTTCTTCTCTTAGATTTGTATTTCTTGAAAGAGCAAGTCTGGTAGATTCCGAAAAGAGCTCATGAACATACTCTGGAAAAAAACACAAAATAAACATTACCACCCACAAGTCATTCTATAGCATCAGTACATGTATATTATCTTTGATTATCATTCTTTTTTCTTCAACTACTAGTATCAATGCCGAACCAAATAGGAAGGATATTACACCAGAAGTTCTGAAACTACGCAGTGAGGCCTCACAATTAATCATGGGATAAAAAAGTGGCTTTTATTGGGTGCTCAAAACACCTCTTCAAATGTAAGGGTTGCATCCCATCCTGTTGGGTTTGGAACACGGGCGAGAAAGTTTAAAAACCTTTGGTGTACACCACATATTACATGATAGAGACTAGTACACATGTATAAAAAGGTTGGCTTTCAACTGATGTCTTGAAATACTAGTAATCGCATGTTGCACAGAATTTAAGACAGGTGAAACTAATGAATGTCATGTCAATAACAAGCCTTCTTGCAAACTTCCTTGTATTATTTACTTTCTAATTATATAGATTTGATTTGAAAAGCTTTAGCTCACCATACGTTGGGTTCACCAGAACTTTCCTCAGCACGTAGGTGTCCCTCCCTCTTGGATGAGAGATGCTCCACTGCTCCGTTCCGTCCTTCTTCTTCCTCTGGGCTCTACCAGAATTCTCATTGAAGTGCATGGCGGCTAAAAGAAGTCTGTTAAAGTTTTTAAAAGAATTAAGATAATTATTGAGTATAACAGTTTCTGATAATTGTAGGGACTCCCTAACTTGCAGAAACTAAAACTAAAAAAAAAGTGGGTTAGAGAGTATAGAGTTTAATGAATTGAAGATACGCAAATACAGTATAGTAGTACCTGCTTTCAGCGTTAAACTAAAAATAAAAGATGTCTAGTCTGCAGGTACTCGTGCACTTGTAGAAAGTTAAACAATAGGGAATACTAACAGAAGCCTAGGGGTATAACCCCTGCCAATGACTACTTGCATGAATACAGATTTACTCTTCACTACTGATTTATAAATTTGTGACTGCAAAATATATATCCTTACCTGGCATGCATCCCTTGGTAGCTGTATACATACAGCTTGGGAGCAAAATAATTAATCGTCCCATGGTAGGCCTCCACTGATGAGGTTTGTTGTGCCGGGGACATCATTTTGATGTCCTTCAGGAGGTACTTTGATTGGCAAATCCTGATGACTTCGTCAGCTGCCGTGGAATCTATAGAAAAGAAAACAATATATTTCCTGATAATGTTATACCTGCATCTACAATTTGGAAAACGTGCAAGCTCTACTTATTATAAAAATAAAATTATCTGAGACTTTAAAAAATATACTTTGTTCCAACTTACTTGGAAGAATCCATGCTATGCGCTCATCCACCTCAGCCAAAGGGCCGTGAAGACACTGTGGAAACACATCAGTCTCGTGGTCATGTATATTCATGATGTGGTTAATCATGGATGACCACTTGGCAGCCATCACCTCTTGGCCAGCATCTGGTGTAGAACTGGCCACCCAGTACATGTGGTTGGTGATGGATTTCGTCCACTGGTGGAGCAGCTCACAGTCCTTTTTCATCCCAGCAGCCCGTAGTTTCTTCTTTAAACCTGCATTTAAAGAAAATTAAATGAACGGGAAGAAAGTAAACATTATTTTAAAGAAATCCAAACATTTGACAGATTTGATTTACTGCTCAACACAACGACAGTACAGGGTATGTCTGGAGAAGTTACCATAGAATGATGCTGGCTTCGCAAAGCGGCAGGGTAATCAATTAATTAGCTCGAGACTGCTTGCCAGTCAGATCTGTAGTGGCAAAGAATCGCATGGTATGCAAAACAATCGTCATACTGGCAATGATAATCTAACTTTAAGAATTATTTAGGAGTTTATGTATGTCTATTGTTATAGTAAAACAAGATTTAGCGCCTGTGAAATGTCAACTATTTATCCCACTCCCCCTCAACGCTACACAAAACTTTATTGAGTACTGAACTTATTTATAGAGTGTTAATTATGTACCTTTTGATATGTGCCAGACGTCAAAGTAGTGTTGCACTTCTTTCAAGTTCTGGCGTATCCAGGCTCTGACTTGGACGTGCCTGTCCGTGATGATAGTACCAAGTTCAAGGTCTGTCTGTTCGACCCAGACCAGTCCCCGGCGCAGAGCCTCCAGCTCCATGTTGTAGCTGTTGGCCACCTCACTTTTCTACAAAAAAATAAAATAAAATAGAATGGATCTGCAAATTAATTTTACAGTAGAACCTCATTAACACGAACCATGTTGACACAAAAACCATGTAACACAAACCAATTTTGAAATTCCTTAAATTAATTGATAACACAAACTCACATTGGTGGCCCATATATTTCAAATAAAAGCGGTTCCACTGTACTAAGTGTGGTTTGTTTCACATCCAGCAGGAGGGGGAAAAACACAATATTGTACACTTGTTAACAAACATGCATAATATAGCAAAGCCAATATTTACTCATTTTTATAACTTATCTAGAAAATTAGCTCACCTGAACCAATTCTACATGGATGACTTTGTTGATATTCATCTCCATGAATGTGTACGAACCGTACTTGGCCGTATGCCCCGGGCTGTCATTTCTGGCATCTCCACCGAGCACAAGAGGTTCCCCCAGCTCTTGAAGCTGTTCCCGCATACCCCCTGCATCTTCTCCCAAGTGTTGATGATAGCAGGCTGAAGGTAACGTCGCTGGTGCTGCATGAAGGTGGAGTAGGAGATGCCAGCGATACTTGCAGAGGACAACACCCTCAACACTTTCTTGGGGGAAGCACCAGCAAAAAGTATTGCCCCTGACAACATGAGGTTACCAGCAGGAAGGTCAGCAATGAAAGGCTGGCTATACCACTGACGGGTATAGCCACAGTTTGGCTTATGTACGCATCGTTGTTTGATGGCAACCAAACTCCCTTTCATATGGCTGACCTCACCTGCTGCCTCACCATTGCACAGTGGACAAACCTCGAAAAGCTGCAACAAGCAGGTCTCAAACACCAGGTACTTGGGCTCCACATGAGGTAGGGAATCTTCGCTGTGTGTTAGTCTGAAAACATAAATTAAGGACAGACTTAAGGACAGCACATTAGTCGCATTTATTCATCTAGACTTCACAAGATATTTGTTTTCAAAGGACTTACACTCAAGACTTTGGATTTATTTCAAAGCAAAATACAGCACACACTTGGTTCTAAAATAGGTTGCTACATGTAGCTGCATATCAAGAAGAAACCAAAATATTCATGTTGGGAAAAAAGAACAAATAAAAACTTAAAAATTCCACAACAATCCCAGTATCTTACATGTCAGAAGTCAATGCTGGTTTACAGGTTCCAGCATCACCAAGCTCATCCAGTGGACTGTAGTCAGGATCCTTTGTTTTGTCATCTTCTTCCGGTCTGACATCATCTTCTTCCTCCGGAGGCCCCACTTCCATGTCTGTGTCTGCTTCAACATCTCCAGCTGTGTCTGCTACATTTGCCTGGCTGGATGGATCCTCATATTGTGTCCACGAGTCCTTTGTTTGAACCTTGATCAAATCCGTTTGCATTCCTTAAAAAGGGGAAAGACAAGGTTCTTCCCAATCAGAGATGCAAATGAGTTGCAAAAAATGATAATGATCAGCTCTTGCACTTTTTGCATTCCAGATTTGTATTCTTTTTATTCACCAAACCATGCTTTTTCATTTTACTGTACAAGATAGAAATTTGTGCCGGATGTTTTTTTTTTTCAGAGTATGTTCATGAGCTCTTCTCGGAATCCACTAGACTATTCTTTCAAGAAATTGTTACCCTTTACCTCAAATTCAGTTCATATTTACTCTCAGGAGGCAAACAAAAGTATATGTGACAATGAGGCTGATATAAAAAATACCTTAGTATACCAATAAATATTTGGCATATTTTGTGCAATATCTCTCAAGTATAATGAATTTGAAGCTAAAATTTGAGGATGAAGATGATAAAATTATGGGTTTTCATTTGATATTTAAAAAAAAACATAGTAATGCCAGTTCAGCCCTAGGCAATGAGGCTTAAGCTAGCTCATTATAATCAAACGTCTACCTTCAATGCTGGTTGAAACTGGTTAATAAAATTTAAAGTTCAACCAACCTTTCTTTAAAAAATCTCTTCTAAAATGTATTCTTTAATTTCACTTACCTTTGTTGTTACCCCAATATGTACTACGCACATTGACGGCCTTTGACCGGTAGTATACCTTGGCTGGTTTGATGTACACCTGGGTACCTTGATGGCATTGGTTCTGCAAACAAAAAAAAAGTTTTTTTTAAATACAAGTTGTGTTTTAAATTAATTTATGGCAGATAAAAAATAAGTTGGTCGAAATTGGGTGCTTTTTGGTGATGAAAATTACCTACAGTACCATCACTTTATAAAAAGTACTGACAATGCACCTTAAAACCTGTAAGCTTACCCATATACCATTATACAGACAGAAGTCCTCCCAGTTCTGGCCACATGACCACTTCCACTCTCCATTCCCCACCTTCCTGAGATGACGCAAATAATTTTAGTTTTATTTGAGATTATTACGGCCACATTGTTATTATACAATTTTCCTATGCTACAGAGCAGTAAAAGTTGATATTTTACCTGGTTTGAACTTGTTTCTGTCGACGTAAATCCAGATGGTGTCAATGTTTGCTGTGAAACTTGTGCTGGTGGTTTCGCCATCAACGCAAACCGCTGCAGATGTTTTGCAGCATCTTCTGTTGTTTTGGCTTCCCACTTTTTCCTGAATACTTCCTTTTTCCTTTCAGATTCTTCGTTCTGCTTCCTCTGGTGTACTGCTATCATTGAAGTTGTTTCCTGAAAAAGGAACAACCAATAGTAAATACTTATTATAGAAGCTAAACAAATAGTGGCTCAAGGAATACCTTGTAACTACAATATTTACACATCTGGATTTATCGAGGGGGGGGGGTTTAAATTTGAAAATCGCGCTAAAAATGTATAAACGACTCAGCTAGCCAGCCGGTGGGGGGGGGGGGGGGGGAGAGCTCATTTTTTTCTTTTTCTTTTGGTTCAGGTTCTTAGGGGGGGGGGGGGTGTAAGAGTACATTTCTTTCTTTTTTTGTCCCAAAAATTTGGCCGGTCGATATATCGTACAGTTGGGGGGGGGGGGGGGGGTAGGTCACCTTTTTAGGGTTCGAGCCCCCCCCCCCCATACGTTGACAATTAATGATGCCCTCCGTTTGAAATTCTTTGTACAAATCCTTCCAGGGACCTTCCAGGGACCATTATGACTGAGACTAGTCTAGGTCTGGTCTAGATCTAGACCCTATGAGATTTGAGGTGATAATCCTTTGACTTGAGGGTACAGAATTTTATGAAAGGAGTAACTAGATCTAGACATAGAGGTCTAGTTCTAGGTCTTTAATGCCAAAAATAATAGGCCAGGGTCTAATAGTAACATGAAATAATAAATATCAAACTTTCAAAGGGAAAGTGGTCTAGGCCTAGACTACTCACTCCAGCAAAGCAGCGAGAGTCAATGCTAATGCGTGTTGGCCTCTAGCAATGCACTACGTGTTATAAGGCAGCATTCCCACACATGAATAGTCAACACGACAAAGGCACACAATCATGCCGATGTGGCTGATCGAAAAGTATGACAGTAGGCTTACAATAATAATTTTTTATTATTCTTTCTAACATCGGGAAGTTGATTTTTTTTTTTTACTGCTATTTAGGTGTCAACAATTATTGTTACTAAAGTACCTATTTTTAGTGAAATTAGTTGAGATTTGTACAGTAGTGTTTGAAATGTTAAGAATCAATAGCAGAGCTTATAATACACAGCCAGGATAGTAATGCAGCTATGTGTTGGCCTACTCACTTGTGTTCGTGCCCTCAAGTCGCTCTTCTTGCAGTAAATAGACAGCCGACGCCGGGGGTTTCCACTCGTCTTCTTTGATGATGGTGTTTCGTCCATTTTTGCTGGTATCAATATCTTGGTTGGCACAGCATCGTCTGTCAGTTCCCGTTTAAATTCAGCAGAAAATGTCCCTTCCTTACGCAAATTTTCTGCTAGTTTGTACCTTTTCACGAAGTCATTTTCTGTGAAGTGGGCGTCGCATATTTTTACACGGTTGTTATGGGAGACACCGGGGCCTGTAAAATCCTTGCGATAACGTTTCACAAATTTCACCCATTTGTTTCGTCGGCTGGGATCCTTCTTTAAGCTCGGAAATCCATAGAAACTTGCTGACTTGTTTCGAGATGTTCTTGAACATCCGTAAACGATGCAGTTTGTCGGCATTTTGCTGAATTTCGACAGAAACGCGTTTTTGGATAGGGTGGTATTTTACTATATCGTGATGTTCGTAAGTGTAATTCGCGGGTACTTTCGACATGTCAGATTAGCGCGCGGTCAACACTACTGCAAGTGACGTCAGTGGTGACGTCAAGTCCTGACCTGCATCACGTGACTGTTAGTTAGCTTTTCAGAATTGACCGTTTGTGTTGGCTGAAAAATGCCAATTTCAACACTTAATAACAAAAAAACGGTAAATCAGAGAGTAACAAAACTTTGATTTATTTGTTCAGTATATATCAAATAATGTATACCCAGCATATTTTTAATTTTGGAACACATCAAAATACGAGTAACTCAGCACTTTAAGGACTGGACTTCTAGTTATGCCTATCCATTCACTAAAATAAGTAGTTTCACTTCACTTCCTGTTAAAATTCTTTCAATCAATGACAATGAATGCTGCCACTGTGCCAGCTGTAAATTCACCTTCACTGTCCTGCTTGCCCAGTGACATCATAAGCAGTGCTAGCTGATGTCCTCTTGGCAATGCCAATGGGCTGTTTATTCCATTACAGCTAGCATGTGTTATAGGGAACAAGGCAGATTTATTTGGTAAATTTGTATGATCATTGAGATTTTAACCTTAATTAAGGCAATAGTTTAGTGTTCTTCTTTTTTTTGGGGGGGGGGGGGGTTGAGACTATCAGCTGTGATTTTTTTTTCCCAAGAAAGAAGAAATATTTTCCTGCCCAAATATAAACCATTATAATTTGTGTTAACATGAAATATTTTTCTATCTTTTTACAATCAGACTATCATCATGGGGAGAATTTGTGCTGTTATTGGGTGCTCGAACAGTACATTCAAGCTTGATAAATGGTATTCACAATTGTGTGACAGACATGGCCTGAAATATGGGGTCTGCGTATGCCCACCACCTTTTGTACCATTCCCTTTTCCTTTGCAAAATAAAGATGCAGACGGCCGTCGACGATGGATAAAGGCGATAAATCGAAAACGTCCAAATGGCAAAAACTGGGAACCAACGTATGGTTTGCTCATATCACTTTCAAGATGGACAGAGCTAGTGCAGCGTGGCCAGACCCAACAATGGATCTGGGATACAGCTCAGCACACCAGTCTTCACATAAATCTCCTCGTCTGCCGCCAAGAGAAATACCTCAGTGCCCAGAAAAGAAGAAATTAACAAGTAAACGGAAGAGAAAGAAAGTCGACTTGACAGGAGATCCTGAATCACATGAAACCTCTACGGCTGAGGAGCACCTAGAAGTTAGTGAGACAGCTTCAAGTAAAGAAAATAGGACATCAACATGTAAACGGAAGAGAAAGGATGTCGAATTGACAGGAGATCATGACTTACATGGATCCTCTACTCTTGATGAGCACCAAGAAATTGATGAGACAGCTTCAAGTAATAAGGAGAACAGATCTGATCATATTGTTGGTGCACATATCACTGATCACAATTATGGGCTACATTGTGATAAAAGATTATGTACCTGCCTTGGATGTGTTGCAAAGCAAAAACAAATTGAAGATCTACAACAGAGGAATAGTCATTTACAGGCAAAGCTGAAAGCTACAAAGAAACAGCATGGTAAGAAAGGTGATTTTGATATGACTACTGTTGTCACAAAAACTGATAAAACTGTCAGATTGTACACTGGATTTGAATCCAAAAAGTCACGAGTAATATGTCCTTTCCTTTCATTCGTCTGATGAAAGGGACATAATGTTTCTGGTGATTCGTTGAACTATTAGATTGGAGCCAAGGAACCCTATGTCTATATTAATTAAGGGAAGCAAACATAGGCTGTGCAGGAATACAGTAATTGTGCTAGTCAAATGCACGGGTATGAACTGGTTAGTGTTTATTTCTGTCTTCCCAAGACGAAAATTCAATTGAAGCCCCATTGAATGTCCCCATTGAATCCCAATTGGCAATTTGGAGTAAATGGAAAGTGAAACAATGGGTACCCATTGAAACCAATTGGCAATTGGTCCCCATTGAAACCAACTGTCAATTGGTTTTAATGGGGACCAATTGCCAATTGGTTTCAATGAGTACCCATTGTTTCACTTTCCATGTACTCCAAATTGCCAATTGGTATTGAATTGGGATTCTATGGGGGCATTCAATGGGGATTCAATTGGTAAATCGATCCAGTTAGAAGAACCAGTGATAATTAAATTACTGATACTTCATAATCGATATTGGCAACTGATGTCAACCAATTAGATATATTCCAATCTCATTTGCATTAACCTCATCACATAGATCATTTGAAGTGAATTCAAGAGTTACATTTACAGTGACACAGGCTCGTACACATATATATACTAAATATGCATGTTGTTTCTTGGTTAGTAATCATACAATCAATATATCTATTGCTAAAAACGTGAATGTAATTGTTACATCATCAGACAAAATATTCTATTGGTTAATAATTGCCGAAGGAAAATAGAAATCACAAAATTGATGTGCATTGTCATAATTTGCTTAACAAATCATGATAAATTTATTTTTCTGTGACACGTGTAAAGTGATAATGAATATTCATGAGATGCCTAGATCTGTTGGTTTATATTGGTTTATGTTGGTTTCTATTGGTTCTATTGTTTTTTGTATTGGTCTTATTGGTCGTAATGGTTTCTATTGGTCCAATTGGTTTCAATTTAGCATTGGTCCTATTAGTTTCTATTGATTTCAATTGGCCCTATTAGACTTTAATGGAATTTCAATTAGTTTCAATTGGACCAATTGAAGTCCAAATTAAGGCCAATTGGTCCAATTGAATCCAATTGGGGACCCATTAAAGTCTAATGGGGCCTAGGCCAATGGGGCCAATCTGGACCAATTGAAACCAATTGGGGACCCATTAAATTCTAATGGGGCCTAGGCCAATGGGGCCAATTGAAACCATCCGAAGTCCTATTAAAGTCCTTTTGAAACCTATTGAGACCAATTAAAACCAATTGGAACCAATTGGAACCAATTGAAACCAATTGGAACCAATTGAAACCAATTGAAATTTCAATTGGTGTTCAATTGGTTTCAATTGGATTTTCGTCTTGGGTTGAAGCTAGCTTAACTTGATACATTTATTAGAATATCATATATTGAATGTACCTCTTTATATCTTGTATCAGGGCTGGACATTTATGTAATAAATAAAACATGGACATGTGAAATTGACTAACTACATGTATGTATGTCGGGTTCCAAAGTATTACAAATTTACTGTTTTTCTATACACATTTACATGTGTATTCTCTTGGGCTATAGGAATACATTTTTTTTGGAATAATTGAAGTGTGCTATTTACCAAAGTATTGTATGTTTTGTGTGTGCATATATTTTTATCAAGACAGAAAATAGGATTTTTGTATCCTTATGCAATAATAAAGCAGCTAACTACATATGATATGCAGCTCAAAAAGATATCTTGATCATGAGAATAGTTACATTTCTCATTTTATATTTATGTTGTAAATAGTGACAGAAAGAGGTTTTCTTCTCCAAGCCGAAATCAAATTTCCGCATGTAGAACACGTGATCGGAC